CCCCCTCCCCTTCCCCGACCCGCTTCCCAGAAAGTTCATTACTGATAGTCCTGCCACCAACGTGCTTACATCTCTCTGCTCCCTTCCCACTCCAAATCAGTTTCTTCTTCTTGTTGTTGTTCTCGTTGTTCTTCCTCTCCTTGGTTCTTTTCCACAACCCTCTGTGGCGCACTCAGGATCCCATCTTCCTCCCTCCAGGAGGCGCAGAACTCAGGATCCCATCTTCCGCCCTCGAGGAGGCGCCTTTTTCTGTGTGCAGTCATCATGCTGCCGTCTTCCCCCGAACACTACGCACCCTGATGGTTTTTTTTTTTTTTTTTTTTTCTTCTGCGGAGCATCAGTCCAGTTACAGGATCTGTTCTGTAGGTCGTACACTCTCCTGTATCTACGCACCCTGATGTTGAATGTATACAAGACATCATTCCAGTCCGATACGGTAGTGATGAGGGTGCTCTATGTTTGGCCGAAGACGCTAGCCATCACTGCATCTTCCCAATCTAATGGATGTCCCAAACCACGGATTCCTTTTCCTCTCCGAATTGACACCCTTCTTTGTAGGTTACAGCACCCCTTCTTTGTAGACCACAGAGGGGTGAAGAAGAAGAATAGTGAAAACAGTGGCCATAGACTGCTTCTCGTACAAGCATCGATAGATATGCATTCCTTCACCGCATGTACAGTTCTCAGTAGTAGTAGAAGAAGAAGAAGAAGAATTGAATTGAAATTGAATTGAAATTGAATTGAATTGAAATTGAAATTAAATTGAAATTGAATTGAATTGACATTGAAATTGAATTGAAATTTGAAATTGAATTGAAATTGAATTGAAATTGAATTGAAATTGAATTGAAATTGAATTGAAAATGTAGCGAGGCCAATCACTTCTAGTCTACGAGCGAGGAGATGGACATCACAGCAATATCATGGACCATAGACATAGCTCACAAACGCGCGTACACAGTATAGGAAAAAAAAACATTTTGACAGTACTTTTATGACCAGCAAAAAAAAATCGCTTATTGTTTCTGATATGGAAAAATCAGTAAAAAGAAAGAAAATGTATACAAAAAATTGAAAGTAATAAAAATGAAAGCATCATATACAGTAATTAAAAATTTGAAGAATTCCTTTTTAAGTTTTTTAAAAAATCATTTTCTGAGGAAAAAATCATATTTAATATTTAATGACATGATAATAGTAATATCGCACATATTTGTAACAAATATGTGGACTATTCCAGATTACGAATTTATCGTTTTTTCGGTTTTTTTTTTTTTTTGTTTGTACGAATTTGTCTATTTTTGTACGTGACGAGATCCGTCCTGTGACTGGAACTTTGTTGAGACTTTTGACTTAGTTCTTTTTACTTTGGTTTGATCAGATTACTCCGTTGTCCCTTGTTATACTGAATGCTTTTTATTTTACCCCCTCTCCTCCTGTGAACAGGTCTACTAGGTACACATGCGGCGGCGGCGTCGGCGTCGGCGTCTGCGGCTGCGGACTGAAGAGAGGAGGCGATGCAGTCAAACCAAATGCGTGAATCTTCACTCTTTTGTTGAATACATTCATTCCATTCCGACTCAACCGAGCAGAGTCCCTTAAGAAGAAGCCATCCCAGCAGACTCAACACAATACTACATCAATTGGGACTGACTTATTTTCTTTCTCCTCTGCTCCTTTATTTTTGTTTTCTCCTCAGTTTCTTTCTCCTCTCCTCCTTAGTTTCTTTTTCTCCGCAGTTTCTTTTTCTCCTCTCCTCCTCCCCTCTCCTATAGATGAAGGGGCTACACCTCCCTTCTCCTCCTCCCCTCTCCCATTGATTGAGGACAAGCCTGGTCGATTGCCATTACGCGCAATTTTTTTTTTTTTGCTGCTTCCTTGCCTGCTTTGACTGCTTTGACCGGGAGATAGGTCATTGCAGGCGATGGCCTCTGTAGCTGCGTGTTCGATTCCAACAGCATCAGCTTCAGCGTTTCCTTGGGGCACACCGCTTAAATCGGCCTCCGAGTTTGCAGATACACAGGCCGGATGCAGCAACCCTGACACTGTCAAGTACAAGCGGATCTTCAGCAGACGGCTGACAACCGGCCACGTCACCCGCAGGTCGGCCTGTCGGGATCTGTTGGTAACGAGGAGGGAGCGGTCGCAATCTGTTCCAAGCTTCTCTCAAAGGCTACTTTCTCCCAACACCTTGACCCTCCCCTCCCTCTCCCTCTCCCTCTCCCTTGGCGTTGAACCCAAAGCTCAAGCTCAAGCGAGTCAACGTCCGCCTACGGCTTCTGAAGGGCGTTTGACTTTGACTACGAAGCGGCCGAGCAATTCTCTGTCGTTCCCCCCTAGTCTGTTCCTCAAAGGCACGCAACCGCTGTGTGCCTTGCGCAGGTGTTCTGTGAGGATGGATGGTGGGGACCACAATGCAAGCTCCGTGAGGAGAAGAGAGGGCACTGCCAGTACACGTGCTGCTGCTGCTGCTGCTGCTGACTTTGGTGGCAAGTCGTCTGACACGTCAGCCTTAGGTGGTGCTTCCGGTATTGCTGATGTCTCTGCTGTGGAGGAGCCTACTGCTTCTCCGAGCAAGCAGAAGGGAGGAGCTGCCAGCCCCTTGAAGCTGGCAGGCATCGTCGGGCTGTGGTACTTGTTTAATGTGGTCTTCAACATTTATAACAAGAAGGTGTTGAACGCGTTTCCGTTTCCTTGGTTGACGTCAACGCTCTCTCTGTTGGCGGGTACGGTGTTCATGCTGGGCATGTGGGCCACCAAGGCTCAACCAGTGCCACGAGTGTCCAAGGAGTTCATGATGGCCCTGGCACCGGTGGCACTGTTCCACACCGTGGGACACGTGGCGGCGACTGTGAGCATGAGCAAGGTGGCAGTCTCCTTCACACATATCATCAAGAGTGCTGAGCCTGTCTTCAGTGTCATGGTCTCCAGTCTTTTCCTCGGAGAACACTTCTCAGTGCCCGTCTATCTCTCCCTCTTGCCGATTGTTCTTGGGTGCTCCATTGCGGCGGTCACAGAGCTCACCTTCAATGCAGCAGGTACGTCACCGTAAGTAGACAGGGAAGAGAACGGAAGTAGGGGAAAAGAAATAGGGCAAGG